GCTGTCGGCTTCCTGGACACCTTCCTGGCGACCAGCGCGGCGCTGAGCGCGGCGGGGCTGAGCGCGGACCAGTGGCTGGCCCTGGGCTTCCTGCTGCGTTATGCCCGGCGCCTGCGACCGCGCGACGCCCGCCTGCTGCTGGCCTACGCGTGGGGACAGTCCTGGCCTTCGCGTCCTGCTTCGCTGCCTTCACCGCCGCGCTCGCCGCCGTGCTCTGCCTCACGTCGCTCAAGGTGCTGCGGCTGGCGCGCGGCCACTGCCGGCGCAGCGACGTCGTCACCATGCAGGCGCTGGCGCTGCTCGCAGAAGCCCGTGGGCACCGTCACCGCCAGCCTGCCCCAGGCGCACGCCCGCGTGTGGGGCTTCCCCGCGCGCTGCTCGTGGGCGTTCATGTGGCCAGCTGGTGCGCTCCCCTGCGTCTCTGCCGCGTCTGCCTCCGCGTCTGCATTTGCCCACATGTGCCCACGGCGCGCAGGGAGCTTCTGCGGGGCGCCGTGACGTGTGCGCCGCCGGGAGAAGTGCGCATCCGCCTGCTGTGGGGCGCGGTCAGCCACTCTCCTCCTGCGACACGGGGGGGGGGGGGTCCGAACACTCCCGGCCATTTCTGCTGACTGCAGGCGCCCTCATCGTGACCCGGGATTTCGAGTCTTGGTGCGGTCCACCCCCAGTGCTGTCTGCTCACTGCTTGGCATGCGTTTTTCCACTGAGTCTCCAGCTGGTGTCACTGCTCCAAGGTGCCCCCTGTGGGTGGTTGCCCCCCCCCACATGTACACAGAGCCCCCCAAGCTGCTCTCCTGCCCCAGAAGGGCAGGCCCAGGGGGCCTCTCCCTCACTGAGGCTCCCAGTCCTGCCCCTCAGTCAGCCCCCTCTGCACAGATGGGAAGCGAGAGCGAGGGGAGGGGGCGGAGGAAAAGGGGGAGGGACCTGTCACCTCCTTCCTGCCTCCATGCTTCCTTCATTTTGCCTTTAATAAACCCCATCTCTTTGCTCCTTCAATTTCCTGTCCCCTCCCTCTGTCCACCTCTGCCTTTCCAGCTGGAACATCCTCCTTGAACCTGATCTGTCTGGCCCACCCTCCCCCCTGCCTCTCAGCTCTGGGCTCCAATTCTGCCCCCCCTTGACCACTGTCCTCTGTCCCCTCAGTGTGTGGCTGCGCTGCCTCAGCAAGCAGAAGAGGCACCACCAGTGGGCCACCAGGAAGATCGGCGTCTTCATCGGGCCCTGCGTCGTCTGCTTTGTCCGGTACGTCATGACCGGGTGGGTTCTGGTGGTCGGGGCCCTGTTGTGGGAGCTGCCGGACAGTGGGCTGGTCTCAGTCATACCGGCCTCTGAGGCTGGGGAACTGCAGGGAAGCCAGCACCAAAGGGTCCCTCATCCACACCTGAGGTGCTGGCACCTCACCTCAGCTCCTGTCAAAGACCCTGGGATGGATGTGTCCCTACGTCCCTTTATATAAATGAGGGAACTGTTCCCTTCGTGGCACAGGCAGGTGTGGGGTCTGTCTGAATGAGTGCCCAGCTGTTTTCAAGCCTAGGAAGATTTCCAAATCTGTTAAGCAACCTGGACCAACCCAGGCCTCAGAAGCCACACTGCCCGGGCATTGACTAGGAGGACGCTGGCTGGAGGGCCAAGCTGGGGCCTCAGGACAAAACCACAGCTAGGTGAGTGTTCTCTTTGCTTCTCACCTGCCCCTTGCCCTGGAGATCTTGGCCTGGGCACGGATCAGGCCAGATCTTCCCTGGAATAACAGGTGATTAGGGAAGATTCTGCATACAGGGCCTGCTGGTGCCACTGTCACGGTGCTGTGATAGGGGCAGTGTGAGTCTGTTTCTGCCTATGGGGCTCTTGGGGTTCTCATTCTGTGGCTTCAACCCCTGCTGTGGTCAGGCTCCCTGGGTGGTCTCTAATCCCCCATATCTTCGGCTGCAGCAGAAGGACATCCTGATAGAAGTGGCTTCTTGGAGGAGTTGATGGCCCTCAGCCTCAAGGGGCTGGGTCAACTATGGCCCAAGGAGAGGGACCGGGTGTGGGGTACTGTGCCAGGCCCCTGAGTGTGTTCACACATGGCTCTTCTGGGCTTGCACTCTAATGCCCTGTGAGGTCAGCTCATCTGCCTTCTCAGGTCACTGGGTTTCTTAGGTGTGGCTAGGAGGGGACATGTTTCCTGAAAACTGGGGAGGCTTCTGGAGCTCCCGTGCTAAGTGGAGTGGGCTCTCTCCTCCCTGTCAGGCTTCCTCTGGGAGCACTTCAGAATCAGCGCTCAGGACATGAACCATGTTGCTCTTGGTCACTGGTCCCATTGGCTCAGGGACATGGAGCCATGTTTCTGGTAGATCACAGCACCCTCCTTTCTCACATAAAACATGGCAAAGACCTCTGGTTCCTAGGAAACCACGTGGGTGCAAGCACGAGCGGGGGACTGTGGCGTCTTCTCCCATGAACCAGGTATCATCTGAGTATCACGTTTGCATGTGTGCGTGCGCATGTGTGTGTGCGTGTGTGCATGAGTGTACGTGTGTGTATGCATGAGTGTGTGCATGCATGAGTGTGTGCGTGTGTGCATGAGTGTACGTGTGTGTGTATGCATGAGTGTGTGCATGCATGAGTGTGTGCGTGTGTGCATGAGTGTACGTGTGTGTGTATGCATGAGTGTGTGCATGCATGAGTGTGTGCATGTGCACCTGTGAGTGTGCGTGTGTGCATGAGTGTACGTGTGTGTGTATGCATGAGTGTGTGCATGCATGAGTGTGTGCATGTGCACCTGTGAGTGTGCGTGTGTGCATGAGTGTACATGTGTGAGTATGCATGAGTGTGTGCATGTGCACCTGTGAGTGTGCGTGTGTGCATGAGTGTACGTGTGTGTGTATGCATGAGTGTGTGCATGCATGAGTGTGTGCATGCATGAGTGTGTGCATGCATGAGTGTGTGCATGCATGAGTGTGTGCATGCATGAGTGTGTGCATGCATGAGTGTGTGCATGCATGAGTGTGTGCATGCATGAGTGTGTGCATGCATGAGTGTGTGCATGCATGAGTGTGTGCATGCATGAGTGTGTGCATGCATGAGTGTGTGCATGCATGAGTGTGTGCATGCATGAGTGTGTGCATGCATGAGTGTGTGCATGCATGAGTGTGTGCATGCATGAGTGTGTGCATGCATGAGTGTGTGCATGCATGAGTGTGTGCATGCATGAGTGTGTGCATGCATGAGTGTGTGCATGCATGAGTGTGTGCATGCATGAGTGTGTGCATGCATGAGTGTGTGCATGCATGAGTGTGTGCATGCATGAGTGTGTGCATGTGCACCTGTGAGTGTGCGTGTGTGCAGGGGCGAGTGCTGGAGCTTCAAGAGCACCTGCGTGCGGCCCCGCTCGAGCATCTAATTTGAATTATAAGTGAATATGAGCGAGCCTGGCTTACTCGGCTGCAATACTGTGTAGATTCGTGGGTCTTACTGTTACTTTCGTGTAAGTGTGCAAAGGCCTGGGTGTGAACGTGTGAGCATGTGTGTCTGCATGAGTGCACACACGTGTGCAAGAGGAAGGACCTCAGCAAAGGTGCCAACTCTGTGACCTACGCAGCTCAAGGTCTCCCCTCCCAAGCCCTTTATGAAAAATGTGGATACAGCGTGGCCTCTTGTTACGAGCACTGGTGAAGTTATGTATTCTTTCACTCACTCACCAAACATTTGCTGAGCACCTACTGTGTGCGGGCTTTGCACTGGTCCTGTGGTGGCAGAGGGGATGGAGACACAGGCCCCGCCTTGAAGGGTTCCTGGTTCTGATGGCAGGACATGCCAGTGAACAGGAACCGCAGTGCTTCCAGCGAGCGTGGGGTGTCAAGGGGTCCAGTTTGAAAGGCCTGCCTGACTGGCGCCGCTCACAACACAGGAACCAGATCAGAGGCCCACACCCAAGCATGCGGACAAGGTCCTCACACCATGGGTGGCCTGTCCCACAAGAAGACATATATCCAGGAGTGTGTTGCTCCTGTCACCCCTCATGAGGTTGTGTAAACATGCCAGTTATTCCACAATCACTAAAATAATTCCAGAGATCTCCTGGGGATTGTTTTCAGAACTGGGATGCGTTGTTAGATTCTTCTGTGGACACCATGAAGGTGAATTTAATCTGGTTAGAAATAGCTCAAGGTCATCTTGAGCCTGTTTGTGTGAATAAAGTAGGTGAAGGAGTGGGAAGATGCATGATTTTTCCTTTCTGTTCCTTGGTTTTATTTGTTTACTCAGTTGTGTGGACGGGGCCCCAGGGTGCGTGGCACCCAGGGCAGAAGGGCTGCGATACAGAGCTCCTCTTGAGGGGTCTGCAGTCCACGGGGGGGAGTGCAGGTGGACACAGAGGCCAGGGTGCTAAGTGCACGGTAGACATGCATGCTAGCCCCTTCTCTGCACGGTCATGGCTGGTCCTAGCATGGCTTCCACACCGGGGACACTCATCACACAGGTGCACCTTGGCTTAGCCAGGAGGAGATGCCCTCGGGCATGTATGAGGCTTTCCTGCTTGGCTCAGCCCCCTTAAGGGCGGAGAGGAATCCCTTGCTTCTCAGATCCTTTTATCTGACTCTCCTTCTGACTTGTCTTATGGCTGTTTGTTACCAGCTTTCAGTTCATGACGGTGGGCTTCTTTGAGGCAGAGGAAATGGTGTGCAGGATGTGAATTGCTGGAACTTGGCCAGTCTCCAAGCCCCTTTCTGACTTCTTGGCTCCTCACACAGCCCTGGGCTGGGCAGGGCTGGGGCCGTTGCTGCCTGGGATCTGTCCCTGCCCCTGCTGCTTGGACCCTAGATGCCTCTCCTCTGGCCCTGTCCTCACACTCACTGCAGCCTAGGGTGGCTGCCTGCTTGCCTCCCTGTCTCGCCTCCCTGTCTCCTCTTGGCCTGGCTGCCCTTGGAGGACTGGGGGCCAGTCTGATCCACTGCTGCACCCCAGCACCTGCTATGTTTGAGGGTGCTTGGCAGATGGTCTCCAAACTACTGAGTGACCCAGCTAAGCTTTGTAGCCTCGGGGCTGTGGACCTTCCGAGTGAGGTGGGACATCCTGGGACAGAAGTTCACTGCACACAGGGTCATCAGGGTGAGGAAAGCCCTGGCCTTTTGAGGGCCGTGACCTCTGGCCCCTCAGCCTGCCAGGAACAGGAGGCAGAATGCCTGTCACTGGTCTGAACATGCCCTTGTGACAGCTTTTAGAAGTCTGGTCCCTGGTGCCCCACCCCAGGTTGTACAGCCTGATGTGCAGAGAGCAGAAGGTCGGCTCAGAGGTGTGGGAGGTGCCCCCACCCTGCTAGAGTCTCCCACTCTGAGCTGGTCCCTTCCCCTCTGTGGTCTGAACTGGTTTCAGAGGAGCAGCACTGGGTTCAGACCCAGAATGCTGGATCAAGTCCCTGTTTTGACAGTCACAGGCAGTGATCTTGGTGACACCCCTTCCCGTCTCTGAGCCGGGCTCCACAGCCTACAAGATGCAAGCGGTAACAGCTCCCTCGGCAGCCAGTTCCACCAGCAGCTGTCCCGCGGCAGGTGCCTAATCCAGATGGTTGAGTTAAGCCACGTGAGGGACCAGTGGGAGAGGCCTGCAATAGTGGCAGTGGTGGTGACACTGCCATGTACTGAGCGCTCACTGTGTGCCGGTGACCTCTTGCTGGCACACAATTCCAGGAGGTGGACACTGTCATCCACTTTGTGGAGGAGGAGCCTGAGGCTCAAAGAGCTTGCACAGAGCCACCAGCTGGTGAGCGTCAGGGCTGCGATTCCAGAACCTTTTGCACCGCAGGGCATGAGTACATGTGTGTGAAGATTGTCCCCATTGCTGGGTCACCTGCTCCACTTCCCTGACAGGCTGGTGGAGCTCAGGCCTTTGTCTCATGAGCACTCGCTGGGGTGTCCTAGACAAGTGCCTGGCCTACAGCAAGGTGGTGGCTGACCTGTCCATGTGCTCCCTGCTCCGCTGGTGGCTCTGCCAAGTCCTGGCTGGCGTGGCATGCCAGCTGCTGAGGAGACACCTGTGCCCGGTGACTGCCTGCAACAGCTCTCTGGATGTGGAGAATGACATCTGCCTGCAGTGGACACACTGAGGATCCCAGCATATGGGGCACTGGCCTGCCACAGCAGCGTGGTGTGGCTTCGGGCAGAGGCTGAGGTGCAGGGAGGAGTGGCGGGTGTCGGCGTGGGGAGCACCAGGGAGGAAGGAAAGTCACAGGCTCCGGGCTCTGGGCTCGGACCTCGGCTGCTGGGTGGCCCTAGGACAGTGTCCTTCTCTCTCTGGGCCTCAGCTTCCTCACCTACTTTCTGGAGTGGCTGTGAGGCTTCAGGATGGCGGGCAGGGAAGCAGCCTGCGTGGTGCCCAGTGTGCGGCAGGCGTCCTGTGAGTGGCAGCTGTCGTGACACAGTTATTAACATTGTCCCCCACCCCCTTTGCCCTCAGCATGGCCCAGGTTTGGAAGATAAATCCCGTGGAGTCTGGTTTGGGGCTGTCAGACCTCACATCTAAGTCTGGCCAGGAGCAGGCAGGAGCAGGTGTCCCCTGGGAAGTGCTGGGGCCCAGCCCCCTCTACCCCACTTCCGTCCATCACGACGCAGGGCTGGCACCCTGGTGGAGCCGCGTCCCGTCTCCTTGTCAGTGGTTCACTAGGAGGAATCAGAATCTCGACTGGGGAGGACGTGGACAGTACCCGTGTGCTGAGAGCCCTTCCTGTCGAAGTGCTGTGCGAGCAAATGGACCTGCTTCCTTCCCCGACCCCAGCACTGTGCCTCTGCATCCTGATCATGAGAGGGTCAAGGGACTGATAGAGGGGACAGATGTCCAGGAGGGTAAGGGGCCTCACTCCCCAGCTGCAATGCTTCCCTCGAGCGCCAGTGAGCATCAATCATCCTCAGTCTAGTTATCGGGCGGGGGCGCCCACCGTCGGTGTGGTTGAACGTCCCCACGGAGCAGCATCCAGGAATTCCGTGCACGTCCCAGCACACACGTAGGCCCTCAGTGGAGTGTCGTGCTGTGTGGGTGAGAGCGAGCGGGTGACCGAAGGCACACACTCCCTCTTCCACCCCTGTCTCTGCTGTTTCTTTATTCTTTGGGGCCCAGGGCCATTCCCTGCAGAACCAGGGTGGGCTGCATAATCTCAGCTCCACCACGTGGTGGGACGGACTTTCTGACAGGGCCTCACCCCTGGGGTCTTGCAGACACGAGAGCCCACAGCACGTCCCCGCCAGGTCAGCGACTTAGGAGGAGTGTGGACCTGAAGTGTTTCCTTGCAGAGACTGGATTCTGTAAAGCTGCTGCACACAGAGCAGCCGGCGCCTTGTGCTGTCAGAGAGATAATAACCATGCACAGCCTGGCAGAGCCCGCTTGACAAATTACTTTCCAAATAACTGGGATTGTTTGGCTGATTCTCCAACACCTCCCCCGAAAAAGGACATATTTTAAAGTGTCTGCAAATTCTAAAGTGCAATTCAAATAAAATAAATGATTGTGAGGAATAAAGGTAATGATAGGTATATGGCCGAGAAGCGTCAGAAAGTTCAAACGAACAACAAACCAAGCCCATCCGACCCACCCTGTCATTCCAGCCTGGGGCTGTGGGTTCCAGAGGTCACATGTGGTTGGTGGTCCTCATTCCCCTGCTTCAGTGATGGCCTGCGGTGCCCTCTGTGCTCGCTAAGGACAGCGGTTCCACAGAGGAGGCACCCTGGTCTGCTTGGCTGGTAACTCCAGGGCCCGGCCGTGAGCGCAGCTGAGCCACCGCTCCTGCTGGGAGCTGCTCCAGGGGTGGGAAGCGTACTCCGTGCTACCAAACCCACGGCTAGAGCCTCAGGTGCACTCAAGGAGTACCTCCTGTTGGAAGTGCCACAGCTGGAAGGAGGCGCACTGTTTATGAGAGATGGTGGCTGCTGCTTCTTGCCTTCCTGTGATGCCCATGGAAGTTTCTAGAAGACTATTCAGCCACAGGTTCCCTGTGCCACCTGTGCTGGCATTGTACAACATTCTCTCTGTGGGTCCCTGCTAGCCCACGAAGCTCAATCACTACGCTGTCCTCTCCCTTAGGCTTGTCATCTTTTTTTAATTTGAAAAATACTTTTTATGTGCGTTAAAGCGTATTGCAAAACGGTGTTGTGTCCCAAGAACTTGGTGAACCGATAAACATTTTATTCACAGGGTCTCTCATTTCTCTGAAAAGGGTGAAAATGCTGCCTTTGCAATAGCTGGAAGTCAACTGTTTAATTGCCAGGGAGGCGGAGCTTGCTAGGATTTCTGGGCCTGCGTGCAGCCCCCTGCTGGGCTTCCAGGACCTCCAGACCAGGCTGCGTGTGCGGGGAAGGGGCTGGCTCATCCTCCAGCAGTTGTTTCGACATGGTGGAGCTGCAAACTCCAGATGCTTTCCCATGTGCGGGCAGGAAACAGAGAGCCGTGGGGGCTGTGAGGCTTGCGGGACATAACTGCTCATTTATTTGGGGGACTAGGGTTTTGATTGATCCCACCGGGCAGAGGGCAGCAGCATTCAGCGAGAGCTGGGGAAGGGAGGCCGTTTTGCAGCCCAGAGGTACAGTCCTCTTGCTCAGCTTGTCTTCTTGTCCTCAGGAAACCATGATCTGGTTTCCCTGGGGCTCCAGTCTGTTCAGACAGGGTGGCAGACCCAGTCCAGAAGGGGTTAAGAGCTGGACATCCGCTCCCCTTCCCCTTCATGCTGCCTCACTCTGGCCTTCTATGTTCCTCACTGGGGGCGTCTGCTGATGGCCACAGCCTCTGGAGCCCTTCCTGGTCCCTGGCAAGGCAGCCCTTCCCTGCACCCACCCTCCTCCAGGCAGAGGGAGCTCCTGGAAAGGCAGTGGGTTGTGCTCCTGCCAAGAGCCCTGAGAGGTCCCCAGGCTATGGTCGTGGCTCCTGACCTGGCATTCTAGGCCCTTTCTGTTCTCTGTCCCCTCTGCTCCCCACTCCTATCCACCTGGAGAGGGATAAAGTGCCAGGTGCCCCAGTCTACCTGCCCCTCCCAGGGGGCTGCAGGCTTTCTGGGCATTTCCTCCTCCCCTCTGCTTAGCCAACTCGTCCTTCCAGCCTGGCCCAGTGCTGGGCTGCCTGGCCTAGGCAGATGCGACTCTCTCCTCACGGGCTCCCATGGTCTCAGTGTCCCTCTTTCCAGGGCCCAGCCACAGGGTGTGGTCGCCGCCTGCTTCCTGTCTGCCCACGCTCCAGGTGGGAGCAGTGTCTGATGCCTTTTTACCCCCAGGGCCTGGCCCAGCACCCACCGTGCAGTGAGGGCTCGGGGTGCTAGTGTGCGCGGTCATCTCTGGGCTGGGGAGAGGACTCCCAGCACCTATGCCACACCCCCCATCATCTCTAATGCCCTTTCAAGTGGAGAGTGCCGCTGGCTCAGGGCCCTTCAACTGGTGAAGAGGCTGAGAGGGGATGGCAGTGCTATTCCAATGACACTATGTGACCTCTCACCTAGAAGCTTGTTCCACAAGGAGCCATCCGTGGCCCATCCGTGTGGCCCAGGCACTGAGTTCCTGTGGGCTCCCTTGTCCCATCTCGATGGGCAGGTCTGGCTGCTTCCTCGCCCTGGGGCTCATTAGCTAGTGGGCTGGGAGGACGTGGACACCTCCTCATGCTTGGGAAGGCTTAACTCCATCTTGTGACTTGCCCCTGACAAAGCACTTGGGAGGTCTGGCTCTCTTGGCTAAGGATCATTGCATGAGACGTTCCTTCCAACTTAAGTGTGGAGGAGAGAGCCTGGTTCCAGGGCTTACCAAATTCTTCTCACTGGGTCTTAAAAACCGACAACAGCTAGCATTGACCCTATTTCATGGAATCAAAATGCTGTTGATTTCAAGCTGTATTATTTTATGTACCACTGAGAAAGAAAAAACTTGCCCCAAATGAGGTCTACACTAGAAGGTGCCTTCCTGCAGCTGGACCACCAGGGGCTACACGCTCAGTGTCCACGAAAACCTGACCTGCCCGCAGAAGGGGACAGCGAGGAGGCTCCTGTGTCCCCACCTCAGCACTCGGGAAGGGAGGGAACAAACCTCCCCCGAGACTGCGCACTGCCAGCTGGGTTCGTCCCTCCCAGGGAGGGACAGAAACCTCAGACGAGGAAGTCTAGGGAAAGTGGCCCTGGAGGCCGGCCGGAGCAAGCACAGGGGCTTCAGGAAGGACGAGGCGGAGTCCAGGTGGACAGAAGGCAGCACTGAGCGTCCATCGCCCTGGGCTCTGGAGGCGTTGACACAGGCAGCTTGGAGTCGACCTGAGGCAGCACATGTTCTGAGCCAGGAGTGGATTCACCCCACGGTGGGTCTTGTCCCCTTACCCCTGCCTCTGGGCTGAGCGGCCTGTCACATCTCAGGGTTGAGTGGCATCTGGATCCACGGTCTGAGCACCGACCTCTGCGTTCTGGCCTCCCAGCTGCCCAGGACAGTTGGTAAAGGATGCCCATAAAGGCACGTGGCTCCTAAAGCCATGTCTGGGCCAATTGCCCCAGCAGCGATCACAGCTGGGCTGTGGATCTCCGTGTCCAGCCAGCTTTGTCCCCATGGCTCAGGGCATGTGCATACAGATGGGCACACCGTGGACTGCAGCCGTGGGGCTGCGAGAAGTGGCCAGCAGGCAGATGTGTGCACATCTGGACGGCAGAGTCAGAGCCTGTCCAGCTCCACACGGTGGTCCTGCCTCAGAGGGAGAGAGGGGCTCTGGGCAGACAGTGACCTAAAGGCCCCAGGGCTGTGTTTTCCTCACCGTGGGGCTGAGGAACCCTTGTCGCCTTCCCAGATGGCTCCAGGTGGCACAGGCACGGGCACGGGAGAGGGGAAGCGTGTGGGAAGGGTCTGCCCTCTTCCCCAGGTGCCGATGAGGAGCTTGAGCCTCTCCAGGTCACCACTGGCCTCCCCTCCCCATCCCATGATCTTGCCTTTGATCCCTGGTCTAGGGAAAGGGGGACAGAGAAGGGCCTGATGTCACCACCTGGACCATGTATCCAGTCCTTTGATGAACCGACTCCATCCTCTGGCAAATTTCACGGGTGCCAGGTTTCCTGCCGAGCCCTGCAGGTGAGCGAAATCAGAAGGAACGTCATCCCAGGATCC